GTTTCGAAAATGAGTCTCAGAATTACTTCCATGGTATTATTACACAACACTTTCAGTGTGCTGATCAGACGCTACTTATTTACGTCGATCGTTATGCCACCATTTACAAATGGCGGTACATGAGTTTCGCACTATTTACGAATGCTCTTGTGCTCTGTGGTTGTCGTTGAGCACATTCAAAAGATTTTTCTCTCAATGAGGCCCAATAGAGTAAGAACTGCCAATCACTTTCCGTTGAACGGTAGACGACCACAAGTCATTATAAGAGTCATAAATGCATTTTCTCGCCTTGATAGAGTCACAAAGCATGACAGTAATCCTAAGATGAACGAACAACGCTCACAATTTTCACAGAGCTTTCTACCCATTATGGAATTTGACTTATGTTTTCATTATCAACTAGCACTGTCTTCTCCTCTTTCAAATATATGATCGAATTTGAGGATATTTCTTGCAGGGCGTAATCTTCTTTTCAACAGCACTTATTGATAACGCCCATGTAATAGTTTCTCGACTTCCACTCTCAGTCAACGAAATCAAAGACGACTGTGATGGCACTTGAAGATATCGAATAATGAGGCCGGCTTCACCTGTTCGGAAGCTCGGCAAACCGCGCTCTCTCAACAGAAGAATGCCGTGAACTCCTTTATGAGGACTCACTGATTTGACTCACTGACATAAAGACGTATACACACGTACACAGATCGGTGGAAGCATACACACATAAGCACAAAGCATTAAATAGGAAACAGTTTCGAAATTGTAGTTCATGTGACTACCAGTCCTGGTGATCGCTGTTCGGTTGGTCTTCATTTGAGCAACTAAGTAGAGCACGTATTAAAAGAGCTAACTTGGAAGTTATGTGGTGGCGCCCGATGTGATTGGAATCTGGATTTGGTGACTTTTTTATGAGATAATGGAAATGTTCGGCCGACTGGCTTGTGGGCGGCTTGATCTTCCCACCCTCTAAGAACGAGAGCCGCAGAAACGTCAGCTGTTTAAATAGTGTCATAAAAAATCTCGTGTTCGACTCCAAAAGATAGACAATGAACTATCTGATAGAACGCTCACAGTAGCATTCCGCATCAAGTATTGTTATGATGATTCTAAGAGCTTCGCACTTCTTGTGAATTTCTCAATTGAGGATTCTTGCTCCTCAGATCCAGCGATGAACCTTATGGTCAATGCTAGAGGAATAGCATTCTATGACAGAGAAATATCTGCAGAATTTTAGACCTTGACGAGAATGGTACAATATTAAGAACAAATCACTAAATATTTAGCAAGAGTAAAGCATTTTATTATCATAGTGTCACAGCGAACTCTTAATTTGATCAATTTGACTATTTCATTAACTTTTCTTTTTGTTACCTAGATAAAATAGTGCAATCAAATCAGTGAGTCCTCATAAAGGAGTTCACGGCATTCTTCTGTTGAGAGAGCGCGGTTTGCCGAGCTTCCGAACAGGTGAAGCCGGCCTCATTATTCGATATCTTCAAGTGCCATCACAGTCGTCTTTGATTTCGTTGACTGAGAGTGGAAGTCGAGAAACTATTACATGGGCGTTATCAATAAGTGCTGTTGAAAAGAAGATTACGCCCTGCAAGAAATATCTCAAATTCGATCATATATTGGAAAGAGGAGAAGACAGTGCTAGTTGATAATGAAAACATAAGTCAAATTCCATAATGGGTAGAAAGCTCTGTGAAAATTGTGAGCGTTGTTCGTTCATCTTAGGATTACTGTCATGCTTTGTGACTCTATCAAGGCGAGAAAATGCATTTATGACTCTTATAATGACTTGTGGTCGTCTACCGTTCAACGGAAAGTGATTGGCAGTTCTTACTCTATTGGGCCTCATTGAGAGAAAAATCTTTTGAATGTGCTCAACGACAACCACAGAGCACAAGAGCATTCGTAAATAGTGCGAAACTCATGTACCGCCATTTGTAAATGGTGGCATAACGATCGACGTAAATAAGTAGCGTCTGATCAGCACACTGAAAGTGTTGTGTAATAATACCATGGAAGTAATTCTGAGACTCATTTTCGAAACTGGACAAAGTCGAACTTGCAAAAAAACAGACACGTGAATGCATGGATTACTTCCGATTACTTTCAAGAATTGTAGAGGTTTCTAAGTAATATCATGTGAAAACCTAATTATGAAGGAAGCCTGGTGTAAGGGGAATGAACTGAACCGGATGGATCATCAACTGGGTAAACCATTACCTACATGATTCTTGAACTTTCTCTGAGTGTTTATGGCAACTTGGAATATAACTTGATGGAATACAGCGAGAAGCGTGAATTGAGCTTGAACCTTAGTCAAAGACCACTGGCTAGTCTCATTATCCTAACACATCTACTTATTCGACGCTACAGTCCCAGTTTTTGCAGTATATGGCGGGAACATGTGCCACTAATTCTAATTAGACTGCGTCTTTTGAGAACATTTTCAACATTGAACCCTGGTCTCGCAGTTCACTTCTTGGAAGGTGCCCTGTCTTCGAAGTAGAGCAAAATATCCATCAACATCAGAAACAAGTTTAATGGGAGTGGGGAGGGGAGGTCTTTATAACGAGATGGGGGGATAACTGGAAAATGAAAAGAACAATGGAGCGGATTTGGAAAAAGGCCTTAGGCTGGGCACATAATACGTTCTGCTCACAGTGAATGACGATAGACATAAGCCGCAGGAATCCTTTGAAATGTCTAACACACAATTAGAAGGCCACCTGATACGGTCCAGCTTCTTCACAAAAAAAATCCCTAAGATGGACATGATGCCCAAGCAATCCCTTTAATGAGGAGGACTTACTGAGGCTGTTTGACGTATTAGGATAAAAGGTAAAGCTCCGCTATGATCACTCGACAATCAGGGAGACAACGGATTACATAGGTGAGGGCATTCCATGCAAAAAAAACGTCTTGAAGTTCGCAGATTTATAACAGAATCGTATCGAAAGTGCAGGCAGAATACTGTAGCGAAATTGTTCTTTGTTTGGCAATTCAACCAAAACGACACGGAAGTCTCAAAACACGGAACGGCTGTAAATGCACTAGCTTATTCAGCTTCAATCACGGCTTCTACAAACTCATAAACAGGGCCTATGATAATACAGTTGATGGTGCTTTTGATTTGTCATTCGCGAAATAGTTGAAACAAAATTCACTACATTCCAAGTCGGAGACTTTTCGTCAGCACTGCAGAAATGAGTAAAACTTTCTGCTTCGAACAATATGTCGTTTACTATTGGGCTGAGACTTCCACAGCGAGAAGATGATTTCTCAAAACATCTCTCACTACGGTTACAAAGCATTCTGGGGCACTTCAATAAGCATTACTGCTTTTATTTGGAATTCATGCATGAATTTTCAGTTTTGTACAACTACTCCAGAACTTTCTTCCCAACCTAATAATTTGTCAGAGATGTAGGGTCACTAAAAAACTCTTCTGAATTCGAAATCTTGGCCATCGTATGCTCCGCAACAATTCAGCGAACATGAGGACGAGTAATATTGGCCAACTAAGAAAATGTCTGAATGGCATCAAATTTTGTTGCTTTTTTCTCTATAACACAGCAATATCTGCCTTGAAACGTTATTGTTGGCAGAAATCTTCAGGTCTTCGAACCTCGAAAACTGATTGAGTCGCATTGGTCACTTATTGTAGTGAAGAAAACTCTAAACTCTTCTAACGATTTTTCAGAAACATTACAGAAATGGAGAGACCACTAGAGGGATTGTAACCACTACACAAAGAAATGAAATTTCACTTTGTGAAATGTGCAATAACAAATTTTGTTTTCCCTCCACATCGTGGGGAAAATGCGGAAACGGCTTTCTGTAAACATGCACCGCGAAACGTTTGAAAAGATGAACAGGGTAGCGTCTGCTTATCATCACATCAACTACACTCTTTACGTTCACTGTGCTTTCCCGTTTCAATACGTTGGCGACTTCATCGTTGGAAAATACTTCCTATCTCTTGGCAACATTGATGTCTTCATGCAGCTGTTCATTCTAGAACCCAATCCTGACACGATTTCTCGTTAAAGTCCTCGTATTGGTGGATTTTTCTAACATCTAAATACGCGCCTATTTCTCAACCATACAATTGAAGTTCTATAGATCCACTCAATTTGGCTATCAGTTGACCACTCCGTTAAAACTATAATTTATGAGCGTGCTAAATGTAAGAGGCTAACAAGAACATCAAAGTTTCACAAACGCAGTTTTTGCTCAGAAATTTGTCACCGAAAAATTCTGTAATGAGAAGATCGCTCCGTTTTTATCAATCGATATCTTCCCTGGAAGACTTTTGCTCAGAATTGCAGTTCTGATTCAGGCGCTTTGTCGACTGTCGTAGCATCAGAAATAAGAAGGCGGGAACCGAATATAAGCCGAGCAACTTGGGAAATTGGCGCATACACTGGAATTTGTCTATAACTTCTCGCTCCCACGCAGTCCATTTCCATCAGAGATTTAACAGAAATTTTTTCATCCTGATAACTGGTCTTTTGAGCTTCGCATTAACACAATGTATCACAAACTACGCTTTCAAAGATTTTGTTCTGAATTTAGCAAGTTAGACATCCTTTAAAGCACTTGAAAAAACCAGAAAAAATCAAAGACCAGACAAGATAATGGGTATTAAAGATCGTATGGGCGTTGGGCGTCAGATAGGGGTCAGTAGTCGGAATGGGCTTCAGTATTGTAACGGATAGAGCACGCATTTCTGAAAGAGTGAGGTGCGGGTTCTAGTCCTGCCACGCGAAAGTTTTGCACATTGCTCTACATCAGTGGGTATATATTTGAAACATCATAACACCGCTATAAGCGGTTAAATAAAACGAATATCATCTGATCTTTAATACCCAATTTCTGTCACCTTGACTGGGTTCAATGTCGAGACCGATTACCAGGGCCAGGCCGTTGACGGCTGGCGGCTGACAGATAGGTGCGCTGAAGCGTAGGAAGAGCGACGTACAAAATGGGCGTCAGTAGTGTAACTGATAGAGTACGCATTCCTGGAAAGAGTGAGGTGCGGGTTCGAGTCCCAGCTGACGCGAAAGTTTTTCACATTGCTCTACATCAATAGGTATATATTTGGAACATCATACCACCGTTATAAGCGCTTAAATAAAACGAATATCAGTCTTAGTTTAGTCTATGATACTTATTCTATTTCAAGGAAATGTTTATTTTTGCAAACAAGGCAGGACTTTCGAGTTGTTCAGTTGTGATTTTGTTGCTAGTCTCAATCTCAACCGTGTTTGGATGTGGAGTGATTCCTAGAGGACAAAGTAATGAATAAGAATTGCTATAGATATACAAATATTTCCATTCTTAGAAGGTTAAGAGCTCTAATCAGAATAACCATCCCTAGAACTCCATCATTGCTCAATTGTTGTCACAATCTGCGCTATCTATAGACAGGGATTTTAATTCTGTATAAGAAGGAAGGTAAAACCAAGAAGTTTTTCAACTCAGTGACTTTTGTGATTTAGCTACACCAGGAGTTTATAAACGAACTTTAATGGGTTAACGTTTCAAAGTCTTCGTCATCTCGGAGCCCATGATTAGATTGATTCTCCACTGTCGTTAGCCATCGTTGTGGTCTTCGTCTTGGTTTTTTCACGTCCAGTTTTCCGCAAAGGGACATCGCTCGAATGAAGAATTTTATTTAGCGCTATTATCGTATTCAAGATGACTGACATACAAATTGCCATCGTTAGTTGCAAGTTGATAGTGGTTTGTGAAATGTTGTCTAAGCCTTTTCAAAGTCGATGGCATTCGGTTATATAGATATTCATCTTCGATCTGCTGTTAAACAATGTCACTTGAGAGCATCGATTTATTTTGAAAGATTGCCAAAATGTACATGAGCCAGTGATATGCTAAAGCTTGAGGAGGCTTGAAACAGTTCTCAGAACAGGTCGTGGACGATCAACTAGAATTATGGTCTCTGAAGAAATGAAGAGGAATGGACATATCGGCCGAATAAAGTTTATTTTTCAACTGCGTGATATTAGCTAAATTATAAAGAAAGTGTTATTGAATGGTTATGACGAGGAGAGCCAATTTTTGAAGTATTCAATAAATTAATTTACAACCACTTGCTACAAAACCTATGAAATTTCGTTGCAGCGAGCACTAGGACCTTCACTGCCAGCGGGCCCAGCAACTTACCTATTATCGCCGTTTACACAGATAATAAAGCAATCTCTGCCCTATTCCCTGGTATTGCTACCAGCAAGGATGCTGTTCAGGCACTTGCACAACGTTTTGCAATGCAAACAGTGAGTTTACAACTTAGGCATTTCAATCTTTTTTCGTGACTTCTGAAAAGACGTATGAGATGAGCTGCAATTTCTTCAAAGATCTTCAGTCTCTAAAGCTAACCTAACTTGTCAAATTTAACATATGTTCGTTGAAAATACTTCCGAGCCACTCGGTGAAATACTGAAGAAGATTAACGTCTTAGGTCGTCGATGTTCTCGAAATCGAAGGTCGGAGAGCACTCTTGCCTGATTTTGTGATCTCCAACACTGTGGATCAACTTCAAGTCAATACCACTTACGAACCATTGCTATGTAAGATGTTAATGAGACCAGAAGACGGTAAGTCTCCAGTAGTAAACATTCATTTAGGAAATTCCAATCCGAACTCTAAGACAGATCTGTACTTGGCTTTTGCAAACATTTCTATGAACTTATTATAAAATAATTCAGAGTTTGAGGAAAACTATCATAGAGCCATAACATCAAAATTCTTCAAATTGAGAATATTTTCTCGAATGTTACATTCATTTCATGTTCAGAATGATACAGTATTCAGTATGTTGATAAGTGAAGTTTTGTAGGCTTTGAGAAGTAAAGGGAATAGTGTACGACACTGTTTTGATTTTTCCTGTTGCTTAGTGCACAGAACAAGAAGTGTTTCTGAGACCTATAGTTTCTTGCAGTGGCACCGATGGAAAGCTGTATTTTCGTCGGCAGCACGGTGACGGGAATTTGCCCGGGGGGACAGGGGCCGAAGAAATGTCAGGAGGTTGCAGTGCCTATCAACAGCGAGCACTTGTCCCTCTCAGGAACTCTGACGGTTTGGACAGCTTTTTTACTCGCACAACTTCATTCTATAAAGAAAAAATTCTATGTAGACTACGAACATCATCATGGCTAATTGGTCGAGAACGATGTGGCAAAATGTTGTGGACAGAGCGCTTCGAATGCTAAGATCGGGTCCGTTTGGTTCGCATTTGTACACGGTAACGGTCACTGTCAGCTGAAATTGAAGGTGAACTGCGGTATTCATGAGTCAAACATTCTTATCTAATCGATGTTCATTGTGGAAGTACACTATCAATAAACTAGCAACCATGTGGGTGTTGAACAATCGGAGTGGAGAGCAGTAGATTATATTGAAATGAGTACTTTCTTCTGTTTAGCCTATCCGAGATGTATTGATATTATTAACTGAATACTAGCCAAGCATGCAATCATACAGTCTGATGCAGCATGAATATACAATATTCGAGGTGGGCTATCGTTTCGGTGGAACCCCTTCTTCAAAGCCTGAAAAGATCACATTGATCCACATGCACCCAGCCAAAGCCTCCATAAACCTAGGAGAAAGCGCAAGGAACAAATTTTTGGATGGCATGGCAGAAACTTCACTGCAAAAACTCACTCAATGGTATGATGTTTTGTGTCTATCAATTAGTCAAAGAAGACCAGCCGCCTAGGGTCAGTGCATCAGTGGGCCGCGCCTAACTCAGGCCGGAGAGATCAGTCTGAGGTATGGATCGAGGTTACGCGTAATTACAAGGCACTCACTCCTTTCGGTTCGTTTTTGGGCCTTTGCTATGTATCCAAAAGGCTTTTATCTTGAAATGCACAATGTCATGATTTTGTGCTTACTACTTTACTTGAGAAGTAATTGAGAAGTTCCCACATACTTTTGCAGGCCAAATCTCTGCTGTGAACTAATTGATATTATAAGGTTTGGAATAGTAGCCGGAATTGATTTTACAGCTCTGAAGTTTCGGCTAAAAAATTCACTCATTCGCCTATCGAAAAGTGACCAAATCCCATCTTCAGGCATTCACATTCTGGTTCAAATATCTGGTAATTTTTTCTTAATATTGAATTATTCTCTTCAATGTCTAAAATTCTGCAAATATATTCTTGTCATAAAATGTTGTTCCTTCAGCATTGAGCATAACAAAGTCCACCGCTGGACCTGAGAAGCAGGAATTCTCAAATGAGTAACTCACAAAATGTACGAAAACTGTTAGAATCAACATAACAATACATGATGCGGAATGCTGCTGTGAGTCTTCCATCAAATAATTTCTTGTCTCTCTTTTTGAGTCAGACACGAGATTTTTATGACACAATCTATTCAAACAGCTGGCGTTTCTGCGGTTCTCGTTCGTAGAGAGTGGGAAGATTAAGCTGTCCACATGCCAGTCGGCCGAACATCTCCATTACTTCATTAGAAAGTGATCACTAAATCCAGATCCCAATTACGTCGGCCGCCACAAATTAACTTTCAAGATAACGCTTTCAATACGTGATCCACTTAGTTGCTCAAATGGAGGTGCTGCTTCTCCTATCAAACTAATCCGAGACCTGTCTGGTATCAGGTTACCGACTCCAGAGGGATGGATGGCTTGGTGAGCCATGAGAGCGATATCGAACCATTGACCTTGTGTGAGACGCAGAGCACCTCTAACAACTGTGCCACATACGCTCTTTTACAATGTGATATGACCAGGATATTGTAGAGCCAGGAAAGGTGGAAGTCGCAGCCGAGCTCCAAGTTGCGTCTGTAGACGAGTGAACTGCTGGAGACGTGACTCTTTCCCAAGATTCTGCTTCGGTTTAGACTGTGAATAGCTGTAAAGCAAAAGACTGCCCGAATTTCATGAAAAACATTTCTTGGTTGCCAACTGTAAGGCACTAGTCTATGTGTTGCGTGGACACACTGCCGGATGTGTTTAGAACAGAAGCTGGCTATTTTTGCGCAAATTCATCGGCCAGCTTGTGTGAGATTCACGGCCTGGCTGTTGTGATTTACTGCGCAACGAATAACTACAGTGATCATCTGCAACTAGATAAATTGATAGTCACAAGTCCAAGAGATGAGAAAAAGTAGTAGTTCTTCCGCTTAATAGCTGCTATATGGTTTTTATTACTCCATTCTACAATCTCTCACGTTTCACCGTTTTCTCTTCTCGGAATGAAAAGATTAGTTTGACAAGTATAAGTGTGTATGAGTGTGTGTGCATGTATGAGAGTGCCTACAAGTACATGTATGTACGTATGTGTGCCTGTTTGCAAAAAATCTATTTTTTCTCAATCCAGCTCGCTATGCCTTCATTAACACTTCCTATCACATACCTTGTTAGTGTTTCGAACCGTTTACGACGCAATACGACCGAATTCCGATTAGCAAAAAGTATAACAATATTTAATACAGTTCGTCACACACAGTAAAAGCCTACATTGAAAATTATTACGAAAGTTATGCACGAAATCTTTGGGGTTATTACTGCCTTTTCGTAGTGTTATGATGTTTCACATATACCTAAGGGAAATTGAGTGGTGAGCTGTCAATTCCCGTCTGAGGCCGTTTTTTGCTCACCACTCAATTCTCTTAAGCATTCATGAAGCATCATAACACTAGAAAAGGCAGTAATAACACTAAAGATTTTAGGTATTACTTATCATAATGGCTGTCAGCTCAACTGGGTTTATGAAGCGAAATCGCATATCCGACCAAACCTGTTGGAGGTTGGTGGCTGGTAGCTAACATAGAAATGCTGAAGAATGAGTGGTCGGACAAATGTGCCTCGGTGGTGTAGTGGTGGAGCAAGCGTCCCCGGATAGGATGAAGCGCGGGTACGATTCCCGCTTGGGGCCGTTTCTTGCTCACCACTCAGTTCTCTGAGGTGTTTATGGAAGATATACAAAAGAAGCAATGCACAATTTTCAATTTTCGAGCAAACTAGCACTGTACATTTTAGTCTTACTTTGAGGCTCCCTGATTACTTTTTTCGTTGAA